GGGAAAATGTTCCCCCCCGCCTTCTTGGATAAACGTACATTTTAATACATTGCAATGAGCGGAGGGGGAGAGATGGAAGTTTCCATTGACTTTATTTTATTTTTCTAGATTATAAAATATTTAAAATGCATAAATAAAATGCTCCATTGCAAAAATGCTGGCTTGTTTTCCCAAAGCAAGGCAAGGAACGAAGCTAAATTGAAATATAACCGTCCAGGGTGATCTCTTAAAGTGAAGCCAATTTCAATTGGATTTAAGTGGCCACAGTCTCCCTGCTTGAATATTTATGTTCTTATGGAGTGTGACACATTCTTTTTTTTTCCCCTCCCTTTTTTTAATATCGCATGATATAATGAATCAGAGTCTTGTAGCCACTGCGGTGAATTTATGGTGCTACGTATGTGTCATGAATAATGCTGAAGTTTCCTGGTTTTAATTAAAGCTGTTCCATTTATGATACTGCCATGTTGCAAGAGTGCAGCAGGAGGCATTGCCCAGAGGACACACCTCTGAGCCTGGGCTCTCGGCAGACACAGCTCGTGACTCTGCCTCCTCTTCGGATGGAGCCAGAAACAACAAGACCTCAGCTTTTTGTGCCTCTCTGTCTCTCTCCTTCTGTCCTGACACTTCTTAGTCTTAACTTTCAGTCATCTTGTGTCATCCCAAAAGTGGTATTAGATCCCTGTTGGGAAACATTACCGGTTGCCACCACGTAAACAGCAAATTTTGTGGCATGGGCACATATCCATCATATGTTATAATGATGTGACCACAAGCTCATTGTCACAGTAATGGGATTCAAACCATCCTTGTTAGAGAAGTCTAATTTAAATGTTCCCCTCCACTGGCTTTTTGGAGAATGTTGGTCTGACTCTTCAGAAGGCAGACCGTCTGCCTAGCCGTTGACCTAACCACTGTAGTAACCAGGCTGCTGCTGTTGCAAACTTCTCCTGGGTGAGTATTTTCCTCTCCAGAAAGCAGAAATTGCTGCCTCATCCTGTTGCTGACCTGCCGTGCGGATGCTGTCTCCCAGGAAGTGTCTGTTCCTTAATATTGTGGCCAGGGTGCAGAACCGATGGATGATAGCACGAGGACTTGGTGAATGATGATAACCACAGGGGATGCTCAGGGTGTAATTTTCATTCCTGGTGCTTTGCAAATGGGCTTCTGGGACTGCTGCAAAACGTTTCCGCATGTTGTCACAGCAGCTGTAGTGGCAGGGAATCGAGGAAATACTGCCCATCTAATAGAAATGAGAAGGGCACATAGACAGTGACAGATTTCACATTATAAGGACTGAAATCCAGTGTCGCAGTGCCACCGCTCCATGGGTTGTACAGGGAGTCAGGCTTTGGTCATCATGGCTTGCTGATCCTCTGAATCTCTCCTTTCTTGAACTTGGATGTAGTAATAGATACGGCAAGCTCATTATGTAGCTTGGCAGCAGCCCGGGGTAATATTAGCAGCAGATTTACTGGGATACTGTGTCCAACTCCAGCATTCATCTGTCCTGAGAATGAAAACCTGGGAGATGTGTAGAAAAGATGAACAAAGTAATTTGAGAACCGAGGAACCCACTACGCAGTGAGCTGCTATGAAACCACCAGTCTCTTTCTCTCCATATTCATGTTTAGTAAGTAAACTCAGGAGCCACAGGATACCTACAGGTGGTGAAGGTGTTTGCAGGTTGCAAGTTGGCCAGCTGCACACAAACTGCTTACAACAGACCAGACTGCAGATCAGAGCAGTGATGGATCCAGACTTGTGCAGCGCTCTGGCTGCTGGCAAAGCTGGGGTGAGAGATGGCAGAAAGGAAAGGGGTGTATTTGAATTGCCTACCATAAGTGCTAATTTAAGTGTTATTCCTGTATTTTTCCATTAATTAAGAGGAAGGTGAAGTTTGGCAGCACTGGCACTCAACACTCATTGCTCTATTCACCTTGGAGAGTCATCCATATCTAAATCGTGAATATGATGCTGTCACTCCAAAAGACCCTATTTGTAAGCTCATGGTGCCTGTTTGCTAAAATATTGTCACTAAATTAAGGTACAACTTGATACCAACCCAACTTCCAGAAGCATCTTAGGTTTTCCACTGAGCATCCTTGTCCAAGAGCTGATCAGAGCCAGGAGTGTCCTCCCGTGCCTCTGGCCCTGCAGAACTGGAGCAGGACAGAGCAAGAATGTCACGTTACAAGACTTCCACTGCTGTGAGATGAGAGAAGCCAGGCTCTGACCACTTCTGCTGACAAACCTTTTATTTTGCCTTGGTTTCTCTTCCGGTGTCATTTTAGGAGCACTTCTGGAGCTTGGACAAGACAGAAAACAAGATTCCACCACAGCTTATCTTCCAGATCTGGGACAATGACAAGTTCTCTTTTGATGACTATTTGGGTAAGTCAGGAGGGGTTTTGGCTACATTCCTGCTGAGGCAGACAGGAAGGAAAAAAATTACTGAATCCTTTCAGGATATGAAGAAAGTGTAACAAGACCAGTTTAAGCCACTGAACAGGATTCAGTGTCAGCGTAAGTTCAGAACTGATGATAGGTGGTTTGTATTAGGCAGATTTCCAGTCTCAGCCTGCAGCAGCCTGTTCCTGGCCTGAATAAATGTTGAGAGCACCATTTCGAGCCTGGGAACAGGCTGCCCAGGCTGCTCCAGTGGAGTCACCGTCCCTGGAGGTATTTAAAAGACATATAGATGTGGTGCTGAGGGATAGGGTTTAGTGGTGGACTTGGCAGTGCTGGGTTAACGGTTGAACTTGATGATCTTTAAGGTCTCTTCCAACCTAAATGATCTGATGGTGATTCTATGGTTAAATCCAAAGGCCACCACCTTCCAGGAAGGCCCCAATTCTCTGTGACTCAGCTGAGTCTGTGCTGCAATGTGCTCATCGGGGTTAACCGTGTGTTTGAGCTGAGGTCACCAGGCAGGATCACTGACCTGACTTGCCTTACCTGGGATGTTTAGGCATGAACACAGCTTGATCCAACACTTGCCTTTTTTCACTGCTGGCCTCATTAATCATCCTCAGAAATCTAGGTTTAGGCCAAGAAACAAATAAACCAAAAACATCCAATAGGAAGGATGACAGTGCCACACAGCAGATTATCTGTGCAGAAGCTGGAGGCTCCAGCATTACAGTTTTTTTGGCTGTGTCTTGTCCTACCTTGCTTTTTGCCACTGAAAAAATTTCAAACATCAAAAACTTCACTAAGGAAGTGCGTGATCAAGATCCTTTAAAATCCAGACTTTTATTAATTACGGAGTGCCGAAATAAGCTCTCCAAGGTGTGTTTTCCGTTTTTGGCTCTGCACATCATGAGCTCTTGACTGCCAACCTTAATTCTTTGCAAACTCCAACAAATAAAAGTGGTCGTTGGCACTTTTCATCAACGGACCTCGAAAGTGTTTCACAACAGATCTGATCTGAGCTGTTATTGTCATGGGTTGCAAGAATCTGTGGCACAGAAAAGCTGCAAATACAAGCACGATATTGAATGTGGGTTGTCCACAGCAGTGTAAAAAGCTGCTGTCCTTCAGCTGAGCCACAGGACCCGACCCTGTGTATGTTCTTGGCTGTTGTGGCTGCCCCATCCCTGGAAGTGTCCAAGGCCAGGTTGGATGAGGCTTTGAGCAACCTGGTGTAGTGGAGGGTGTCCCTGCCCATGGCAGGGGGGTTGGAACTACATGGTCCCTTCCAACCCAAACCATTCTAGGATTCTATGATTCTATGAATTAAATTTACCTTATCATACAATTGAATTAAATACAGGCACTTTCAACTAACGCTTGGAGAACTGGGCTCAGAGTTCCTAAAAGCTGGATAAATATGCTAATTACTGGATCTCTCTGTCTGAGAAGACAGCTATCATTTTTGTGGGATATCCTTCATATTTAGCCTGCTGCAATTACTCACCTGGGTGGGGCAATAAAATAGCCTGTTTGGAGATCTGCAGGCTTCCTGCCCAAAGCTCTTACATTGGTTGGGCTGTGGCTGTGTATAATTTGATTTTCACCTGAATCTCTAAGTGTTCATTAAAAATCTTAGCCTGCCTAAGAATCAGTGCAAATCATCCAACGTTACAGCTGTGAAAGTCAGTGGGTGTTTTGCAGCCTCTTCTAAAAGGGCTTCAAGGCTCAGGTCTTCCTAAGCGCGATGGTGATGCCAAGTGCCCAATTCCTAGGAAGAGCCAGTGACTAAAACTAGCACTGTTTTGGGAATATAGCATACTAGAGCCTGCTGACACCCTGCTATGTGGGTGTCTGCCCAAGCTCCCTGAGGTCAGGAGGGTGCCACAGTGAATATTTCTTCAGGGAAACAGTCCACGTTTTAAGGACCTGGTACACCAAGATGACTTCCCAGTAACGTTCCTCCTTACAGGCTCCATTCAGATGGATCTCAACAGAATGCCCAAACCTGCCAAGACTGCTGAGAAGTGCTCCTTAGAGCTAGTGGATGAGACCTTGTCTTCAAGTCGCTTTGTGTCACTCTTTGAGCAGAAAACTGTCAAGGGATGGTGGCCCTGTGTTGCTGATCAGGACCAAAAGAAGATCCTGGCGGTAAGGTGGCCTCTTCACGTGTTCTCTTGGGGAACTTACTCAAAGCATTGAGGAGGGATGTGGCTGGGCCAAGCACATGCTATGTGGACGTGGCTGAGCCAAGGATGCCATGGTCAGGGCAAGAAACACAGTCTTAGGCTGCAGATTTTACAAATTGGACCAACTTTTGTCAGCGGGATGTTTTGCAGAATTTGTCCAGCACCATGGAAATGCCTCAGAAGAAATTATTTGTTCTGTGGGACTTTTGCTGTGTTTTTTTGAACATATCACCTAATTTGAATTTGTATCATATCTATTCTTAATGATGTTGTGTTGTGATAAGTACCAGGGAAAGGTTTCAAGCTGTCAGAGTGATATATTTAAATGTGTCTGGGCTCCTGTTCAAGTCTTTGGTGACTGTTCAGTACAGGTAAGGGAGTCCACACAGTGAATTAAGTCCTTCAACAAAAGATCTTTCAGTCAGTTGCTGAAACCTGGGTCTCAGTGATGTTTGAGAGGTCCTGGGGTATCTGCTCAGAGCATTGCAGTGGGCAAGTGAGGGATCTGTATGAAATTCACTCTTGCTGGGCTCCTCACGGTCCTTGTTGGTAGTGGTTGGGTTATGCTCAGAGTACTTTTTCTTTCCCCAATCAATATTTTGTGTCATACATTCATTCCTCACCTTTCCTTTTTTTTTTTTTTTTTTTTTTTTATAAATATAAATCTGTTCGTTTTTTTTTTAACCCACACAGGGCAAATTGGAAATGACTTTGGAAATTGTGGCAGAACAAGAGCATGAAGAGCGGCCAGCTGGCATGGGTCGGGATGAGCCGAATATGAACCCTAAGCTGGAGGACCCCAAGTAAGAGCATTTAGAGTGGAAAAGTAACCAGTGGGGCACAGAGTTCTCAAGGAGCAAATTGAAAATCTGGGTTCCTAGTTTGGGATCTGCTGTCTGCAATGGGCTTGCTCCCATGTAGACTGCATTTCTGAACTGCTGGTGCTCAGACTGGATGAGCTGAGACAATCCAGGTTGGCCGAGAGGCTGGTCTGGACTGCCAAGGAGGACATTTGACATAGTCTACCCAGAGGGAGGTGGGTTTGCAGGTTGAGCAGCCAGATCGTTACAGCAGGGCTTGCTCATGGGCTTGGGGATCCAGAAGGGTGAAACTACTGTGAAACTCAGAAGCGACCTCAACTTTATTTCGCTCCAGGCGCCCGGAGACCTCCTTCCTGTGGTTCACCTCCCCGTACAAGACCCTGAAGTACATCTTGTGGCGGCGGTACAAGTGGGTGGTTATCCTGGCCATCGTGCTCTTCATTGTGCTGCTCTTCCTGGGGATCTTCGTCTACGCCTTCCCGGTATGATGGGTGCAAGAGAGGATGGGGGGTGGGAGATGATCAAGGTCTCAAGTGTTCCTCCAGGTCTCCGTGGCTGACCAAACTCTGTGGTGACAGAGATGGTCCCGCGTGGCTGCAAAGACCCCTGATGGTCCTTGAGGAGCAACCTGGGGGACCACGATGGGACAAAAAGAGAGTCTGTGCCTCCGGTCTCTGCCGCAGCCTCCCAGCCAGGTGCTCCCCTCTATACGTCCATGTTTTAATTCGTGTCTAATGACGCTGAGGTCCATCGGTTGTTTTCAGAGAGGTCCCAGCAGCTGATGTTGGAGGCATTGGAGGGCTGGTGGTTAAATCCCTGACAAAGATGCGGCCTCCTTAGCAACGCGGCTGTTTTACGGGGCTGAGCAGTGGCAAACCCCACGTGGGTCTGTAATCGGTTGAAGGTGCAGGGCAGCTTATGGGCGTTCAGGCAGCCCCGTCTCTTGTTATCATGGCTTGGAGCATGTTACACCAGCGTAACGTCTGAAATGAGGGGGAGGGCTTTCACCTCATTAATCAAGAAAGTGGCTCTTTCTTGTCTTACTGTCAGTTTCACTGGCAAAACAAACTAAATAAATAATGGAGCCTTCTAGTTTGGCTCGGGATGGAGTTTTGTATCCTCCTCTGTTCTACAGCACTGGAATAATTCATGCTGGCTCTTGGATGCTGTTTCCCCTCCTCCTAGACTGATAAGAAAAATGGCCCACCTCTCTCTTTCCAGCGCTTAACAAATTCTGCTCCTTGTATATGATTTTCTTTTTCTTTTTTTTTATGAAAAAAACTCACTGGGGTAATTTATAACTTCATGGGAGAGAATGTGGCTGCCTTTTGCAGATGGCTTTGTGCGCTTGCAATGTGTGACCGAACAGTGAAGTGTGGAATTTCTCCTCACCATCCTAATCATTTTCAGATGAGTAGAAGTCGTGCATGCTGGGTTGTTCCCATCAAGAAAAAAGGGGATGGGATTAGATCATGGCTCTCTCTGTCTCTCTATCCTCATATCCATGGATAAAGCTGGGAGACTTCTGCTGGAGAAACGATTCCAGAGGTGCTAAGTAGTATGAAGGAGGAAATAATTGTACAAGTGCAGATTTCTGCTGCGTTGCCCCCTCCCTGCCCAGTTCTTGGAGCCGTTCGTGGAGACTCCCTGTTCTGTCAAGTAGCAGAAACCAAGACTTTTCCACCCAGAAGAACTTGGTGTTTCCCTGAAGCTGCAAGTGGCTTTGCGTTCGTTCCAGTGGTATCATACAAAAACAACATTGAGAGGAGAAAAAATTCACGAACTATAAATATTGATTTACACTCATTATTACTTGGGACTTTTCCCTGCTCCCTAGCTGAATGTTGTTGTATTTAATTTCATCTTGGTCGGGTCAATTTTTAGTCAGATTTCAAAAAAGTAAGGCCATGTTTCATGGAATTTTTTGTTTTTTATATATTTGGCCAGCTTCCCCTAGATTTTTGAGGTCACTGGTTCTGTATCTACTTGGAGATTTAGTTCCTTTCCCCTTTCTTCAGGCACTAAATTTGGCAGTGGCACGGGTGATGGTTTGCTATGAAGGATGCCCCTGGCATCCCGACCTTTGGCAGGGCTCACCTGCACCGTCCTGGTTAAATGCATGGAAAACCAATCCCTCCTCACTTCTGTTTTGGTGTGCGTGCCAGGAGCACCATCAGGTCCCATTTAAAATAAGGACCTTGCTGCATTTAGTGCTGTATGTGTGATCTTGCCACTACACATGCAGCTTCGAGGTCCCACAATGAAGGCACAGGGTTTTGTGTGTGTCCTGCCCCTCTCATCCTGGGAAAAGGGACGGGTGATGGGAGGGAAACCTCAAGGGAATGCCGTTAGGGCACGTGGACCATCAGTCTGAGCAGGCAGAAGGTAAGGAAGAGGGATACAGGGATGCTAAGGGATGTGTACAGAGGTGAAGTTGCTATTTTCCTACTTCTCTTGCCCTTTTTGCTACAGCCGTGCATGAAGAGCTCGTCCACAGCTTTCTGCCTGTCAGGATATCTGCTGGGACCTCCACGGTCCCTCCAGTCGTTGCTTTTCAGCAGCTGGTCCTTGGCTCAGCAGGAGCCTGGGACGTGCCTGCAGTCTGACTGCCCCTGCCTGCAGCCTGAACGTCCCTGCCTGCAGTTCAAACGTCCCTGCCTGCATCCTGAATGCCCCTGCCTGCATCCTTAATGTTCCTGCCTGTAGCCTGAATGTTCCTGCCTGCAGCCTAAATGCCCCTGCCTGCAGCCTAAACATCCCTGCCTGCTGATGGAATTCCCTGCCTGCAGATGAAATGCCCTGCCTGCAGATGGGATGCCCTGCCTGATGGAATTCCCTGCCTGCAGATGAGATGCCCTGCCTGCCCACAGCCTCTCCACCTGGGAGTGTTGTGTATGATGCACCAGATGCTGCCAGAGAAGTCTGAGCTCTGGCTCCAATCTTGTCTTGTTTGGGCTCTGCCTGAGGATACCCAAGGAGGGTATCTTGTGCCTGAGAAATAGATGTCCAAAATACTCCATGGGAAACTAACGGTTCTGTGAGCCGGGCTAACCCTGCATGGCTCACCCTCCCTCCCAGACAAACGGGAACCTCACCTGGAAACAGACCCCAGGCATTTTCAGTGGTTCTTGGTATAAAAAACAGGGGTTTTTTTTGGATCTATTCCTGTTGCCCATATAGTGCCGAAAGCTCCCAACCACAGTGCCAGCTCTGTGGTCGTAGTAGCTGGAGAGTAAGAGCAAATGTCCCATTTGAAAGCTGTGTGCTTCCACCCGAAACGGCGAAGGGCTGTCTGTGGTTCCTAATGGGAATGCCCAAAGCCCAGTGCTTCCCAAAAGCTCAGGATTTTTAGTGAAAATGAATATCTTGATCTTGTTCAGAATACCCACCAAGAGATACTTTACACACCAGGGAAATATTTTCGCTATTGAGTTGAGAAACAAAATATTCTGCATAATATTATATGTAAGTATTCTGCAAAATATACACACCTTTAGAGGTAACTCATGGAATCAGAAACTTTTGAAGATGTGGTACCTTTGTGCTTCCCCCATCCTCAGGACACAGAGTACGTGTGATGGCTCATGGGCTAGAGTAAAGATCTTCCCATTCCTCCTCTCCAGTCCTCTTCAAAGTCTCCTTCCCAGGAAGACTTTGTGGAACCAGGAGTTATTTGCCAGCCATGGAATGTGCGTGGCTGCTCCGGTGGGATCTGGGGTCCCTGGAAGGAGCAGGGGGAAATGTGGGGAAGTGAGGACGGGTCTGGAAGTGCTTTGGGGTGAAGAGAAGGTTCATCAGGACCTGTGGGGAGCTGGGAGTACTGCAGTAGGGGAAATTCAGGCATCAGTCCATAAGAAATCAGTCATCGTTAGCGCAACTGTTTACAGAGCAACCTGTTTTAGTGAGCGAGAGGCCATTTCCAACTGAAAAGCCTTTTGGTTTTGGGTGGAAAACTGCATCGTATTGCAAATTTCCTTTAAAAAAAAAAGTTGTCTAGTTTTACAAGAATGGGAAAAAATGTTGAAAATCTGATATTCTGAGGTTCTTCATTTTTTTTTAACTTGAGGTCTTCCACCCAGTTTTGGTGTCGGATTACTCACTGGTTTGCCTTAGCTTGCTTTGCAGAGTGGTTGTCATTATGGTCTGTACAAGCTGGGACTCTGGGAACAGCATTCCCTGGGTATTTCCTATATGATTTCCTTAGAGGGTCCTTAGATTTAACTTGACATCAGAAGACTCCTTAAACAACAGATGAAAAGTATAATGAGATCCAGTAGCTGGATGTTGAAGTTAGAGGAGTTATTCCAGTGGAAATAGGATGCTAATTTTTGAGACGAAGGGTAATTAACCATTAGAACAGTTTGCCAAAGGTTGTGGTGAATTCATCGTTGCTCAAGTCATCCATGTTTCGAGATTGAATGTCTTTCTACAAGATATGCTCTAGTTCCACCCCATTCTCCTGTCCAGCAGTGCCCGTTTATGGCATGTTCTGGCGCTTTTTGGAAAGGTCCGGTGGCTTTGATGGACTTTTCATCTGACATTCCCATAGCTGAGCAGAGCTCTGCCTTCTGCTGTTGGAACGGTTGAGTGAAAGTCTTGGGCTAGATGCAAGGTCAGAAGAAAAGGTTGTAGAAGTCCAGTCTTGGTAACACGTAGGGAACGCTGCGGTGGAGTTATCTCCCTGGAGCAGTGATTATTGTAAAGGTTTTCATGGCTACCGCCGTAGAAAAATGTAACGCTACTTCCAGCTGGAGTCAGCTCTGCTTTGCAGCACCGTGAAAATGTTTACTACCTTTTAAAGCTCTGTTTGTGTTCTTCAAGCCCAGCGTTGCTTCCATTGCCATTAATTCTAATTACAGCTTGCTTTCTGCACTGATTGATAATCCTGCTTGGCTTTCAACACTTCGTTAATACAAATTTCGGAGCTGGACAGAAAACTTGCTACCCTCCAGAATGCAACCAGTCAAATCGTAAAAAATAGGAGTGTTTTGAAGGATAGACTCTGAAAGACAAATGGATGGGTAATTAATTCGAAGGTTATATGTCACTGGAGGCTTTTCTAATGACTTCTGGTAAACTGCCCTAACAACTTTGCTTGCTTGATTTATGGCATTATTAGAAATCCTCAATTGGCAAACTGCCTTATAATTTGCTACACATTGTAATTTATCAAGATGCCTTTGGTCAGACTTCACTTCAGTTGTGTGTATTCTTTTTCTTTTTGCCCCGTTCCTTCACAGGTCTTGCTGGTAATTAGCATTAAGCTTTGTTCCCCAAAATTGTGGTTTGTTTTGTTTTGTTTTTTTTTTTTTTTTTTTTTAACGTGACAGAGTGATAGAACATCCTGTACCAATTAAATTCAATATGCTTGGGAGGGACTTCCAAAGGGGCCAGTATGTGGTCGCAGGGATTTGAATCAGAGCTACTTTAAATATAGCTCTTTCCAAACGACCTCAGCGTCTATCTTCATCTGTGTTTTCAT